TCCAGAAAGTTCGCGACACGGCCTGCTAGCCTCGAAACGATAAAACGGGAAATTGCGGCTAAAGTGAGAAACGATAATGGGCAACGTTGTACACGTTTCCTGGATCCAATTGGAGAAGAAGAAAAAGAAGGAACGATCAAGTGGAAAGGATAAAGATGATCGAGGCTCGCGACGAGGCAGAAAAGTTTGGATCTGTGCGGATATAGGAAGATAGGAGGAATGAATAAGCGGGTCTACTCGCCTTTTTTGAAATGAGGACGTTTGAATGCCACCCTAGAAACGGGTTATCTCGTTATCTTTAAAACCTTGTCTCGAAACCTTCCCACATCGAGAAATACGGTGGCCGTATCAAAAGGGGGAAGAAAAAGTGTATTAGTTCTCGAGCTCTGTCTCCGCCACTTTACGAGTTACAACCCCAATCTCGGTGGATACGGAACTCTTTCGAGACCATCGGAATTTCGCGACTTCCAAGGTTGTTGTTTTTTTTTTGTTTGTTTGTTTTTTTTTTCTTATCTTTGTATCTCAGTTGAATATAAGTTACGTATGCAAATCGTCGTATAGGAGGGTTCGACGAATTTATTTTTCAGATCTCTCTTTCTCTTTTTTTTTTCTTTATCGAGAATAGCATTATTTAATTCTTAAAAAACAAAAGGATCGTTTTAGGACGTTATTTTACGTATTGACGAACTTTAAAGATAAACCAGGCGTCTGGTTTATTATCGGAGAGATCGATGAGTTGCAAGTATACGCGAGATATTCTTGGAATTTTCCAAGAAAGATAGTTTGAAAGTTCATTCTGTGATCCTAGATATTCGATGGAGGGATGGGGCCTTGACTACCACTCTAATAAAAAACTGTTCGGAAGAAAAAGCGAAAAATTACGCTCAAGAGCGGTGCAGAGGAGAAGAAGAGAATTCTGATAAAAACTGAATCGTAAATAAAGAGAACGGCGAAAATCTTGATCTCCCCAATATGAAATTCTTCGTTCAAGATTCTCCAATCTCCACCCATTTCCTTCAACTGCTTCCGTTCTGTCATCTTTTTCGAAATATCAATACGACTTCTCCATTTCTTGTCTTTCGTCTACATTCAGGTATCCCCGAGCTTTTACCTCGTCGATTTTGCTTTCGAGTAGATCCGTCGATTTTGCTTTCGTTTCATCCACTCGTAACGTCCTTCCTCCTATTTTCCTTCTCATCCCTTCGAACGTCACGCTCGATTTGCCTCTTTTTTCAACGGATATCGCAGCCGACTAGATTGAAATCGTGAACCATATTCTCCGTTATGGCCCGTATCGATCTGATCAACGCCGATCGACACCACGGCTGATTAGATCAAGGCTATTGTGCAGACGTAAGGCGAATAAATTTCCAACCGTTGTTTTTCTACCAGCCTCGAAACTTCTTCTTTATTTTTCAGCAAGACGTGTTTTCGCCACGACTACGTGCTTTCGTCGATTTATTTAAAGCGATAGCCTTCCATTTCTGCTCTCTCCTTGCTTTTCTTTTTCTCTTTTTATGGCGAGAAATAGATTAAGAGAGAATCTTCGAACGTGAGAATCGGAGAATCGTGTAGAGAAATTGACGAGAATTTATAAATATATAATTCGTGGAAGAAATGTAAATTTTCGAACGAGACAGGACTCGTGCACTTTGGACTCGTGGTCGATTAATACGAATAATAAGTAGAGACGTTATTAGACACGTTTTCCGGTGTTCGAGTCCCTTTTTCGAAAATTTATTTGTCACGACGAATTGCGTGCTGGAGAAATAAATTAAATAAAATTTAGAACGGGAACGGGGAACTTGGAACATTCGCGGAATCCTCGAACGTAAAAGCTATCGCGTGTTTGATGAACTGCTGCTGAATATTTGCGTGAATTTTCTCCGCACGATAAATTCATGCTAGACAAGAAAACCAACCCTCTTATTCGTTCCATGTTTAAAAGAAATCGGCCACGTAGATTTATGCCAATTTTATGTATTAAATAAACCAACATCTCCGACCACCATCCCTGTCGTTTTTAAAAATCTCTTTAAAAATTATAGCCTGGCCATGTATAAATTCTAATCGAACATGCATACATGGTTATATCGTATTTCGTACTTCCTTCGTTGCATTCTCGATCGATAGAGAATGGACGAAGGTCTCTCGAAACCATGGTGGACTTTTTGCGAGAATTAACTGGCGCCAAGGCGCTTGTTTGTGGGCCAACCACTGGGACGAGAAACTGCCGAATTTGCATTCGACCCTGTCGTTTCGTGGAAACGTTCTTCGTCGATACGACACCGCAGAAACAATAAGGGGAAAGGAGGTATCGGATACGATATTAAAGAGGAAGATCTCTAATGATACGGCGTTGTAACGCGAATGGCCAATAAGAGAAACGTCGAATCAATTTTGTTACTTTCAAATGGTACACCACTGGAATACCACTCCTCCCTGTATAATTTTTATCGCGCAGTTAACGTAATTTAATATCTTAATAATATCTTTTGCGTTTTAAAAAATTATCTTCGTTTTTTAAAAAAAAGAAACCCACTGGAAACCGACTCGTGACAATTTTTTATGCAATTCGCGGGTAATTCGACAACTAGCTTTTTTAATCGTTCGCAATGTTATCGAGTTCTTGAACGTTGGTTGAATGTATTGAATATAAATAGTATTTAGTCGACTACAATATTTATAAAGCGCTTATTTGATTTTTCATGTTTTCGATGCGAACAAGTAAAAAATCTGCGAAATACACGTTTTATATTTTAAATAAATTTGAAATCAGCGATTTTATCACTTAATACATTCGTTGCAGGTCGGATTTTCATTACATCCGATGGTATAAAATAATTTTCATTTTTATTTCTATATTGGAAAACCTTTTACACGTATTTCACTTGAATTATTATACTCGTTCCCAAAAATTTCCCGACTTTTGATTCGTATTTCGCATTCAACTTTTATATTCATACACAACCAACCAATTTGTGCGAATTATATTACCATTCAATTTTATCGACATTTCGAAAAATAAGTAGAAACGATGCCGTAAAAAGAGTTATACGAATTAAACCGGCCACCGCGCAATACAAAAATCGAACTAAACCCGCAAAAGTCGCTCCATCCTCGCAACCGCCACTTATAATCGGAATACTCCTCCGCTACCAAACCGCTCGAACCGTTGTTCCAACTTACGCGCCAGGCAAACCGCAAGGATCGTCCAGCCGAAATCCATCCGGTCTAACCACGGATGACCGAAAAAGCGAGTACCAAGAATAAACAATGCGGTAACGAGCAATAAGTGGAGAAAGGGTGGGAAAGATGGAGCTAGGTCACGCGTGGATCTAGTTTCCTCTATCCAAATTTATCTTCTCCTTTAGAAGAGTTCCTCTCTCCTCGAATCCTAATACAGATGGGCCGGTCGTCGATACGCTTTTTCTAGACGCGTGCCAGAGAATCCGAACCCGTTCTTTCTGGCTTTGACGCTTCGTTGGCTTCCTTCGTTCGCTTCGTGGCGATGCATCGTCGACCGACCGCAGAAACCTTCCACGAGCCTCTTTCTTCTTTTTCTTCTATTCCTCCTCTTCCAACTTCGATTCTCCTCGAATCTTCGTCAGGTTGAAATTCAGGTTCGTGAAACGGTGCGATCGCACGTGAACCGTGTACGGACAATGACCAGTCGAACACCGATTTCGAACGCGTGCCTCAGTTTCTAGATGATTTTCTGGAAATGGGTTTCTACGTTACATCGAATTGCATTTGTAGAATTATGGGGATGTATGCTTAAACGGTTTAACGAAATTCATTAAGGATCGAAGGATTTGGTTATGGAATAGTAACGAATTACGATTCGAAATCAGTAATATTTTATATGAAGGTATAAATGGTAAAATTCATTATCGAATAATTCTTTTAATATTGATTTAATATTCTTTTAATCATCGAATAATAATGGATTAGAATTTTTCCTTCGATCCGAATGAATACGAATCCTAAAAATTCATTTAAGATCAAGATCTGTGGAGTTAGAGATAATTAGAGGAGCACGTTCGAGCTTTTCCAATCACAGGTTCGAGGACAGTAACTAACCCTTCGCGAGCCTAGATATTATCTCGAGTTCCGCAAATTCCTGTGTATCCTCTCCTGTAGTTCGAGGTATCTCTCTAACTACCCTTGAACCAGACCACTCCGCCAAACGGGCAAAATGAAGCCTCACCGTTTCCGCCTGACCGAGCCTTTATGACCCTTCCTCTACCCGTACACTCCAAACGTTATACGTGTTTTTCGAATTAGGACAATTACCATCGTAAAACAGAGTTTCGTGCGGCGAACGCTCGAAAACAGCCGTTCCGCTTCATAATTTCCCGATGACTTTCGGGATCCTCGCGGTAACAACCGAAAGTTGCCGCGTTTACGTTCGCATTAACTTTGAATAATTTCACCGAACTTCTTATCTCGTCGTACGTGGTGCGTGGCCAGACGACGCTGGAACCGGGACAAAGAGGACCGACGGTCCTGGCTTTCTGCTTCCGCGAAATTAATGCTATCGCGAGGTCAAACGAATCCCCTACACCAAGTTTCCCTCGTCTGTTCTACGATAATTAAGATATACCCTTCTCCTGTTCCACGCGATTATTCGATATATTTCGCGCGGTAAAATTTTCTCCAGAGATTAATAGAATTGCAATTATACAAGAGTAATCTTCCTATATATCGTTTTCTTTTGGGATTCTGTTCTATCGTTGCGCGGAGCTTTTCAATTTTGATCCTCGGCTGATGGTTAAATAAAAGCTTGTATTATTTCGTGCAGGATTTGTACAAAGCTCGTCAAAGAATCATAATAGAGAGGAGGAGTTTAATGAATTTCTCAGCGACAATGAACTTTCTTACCAGGGACAAACGAGTATTTTCCAAGGGAAAGATCCGGGATGAATAACAAAAGAGTTATTCCTATTAATCCGGCAGAATGGATAAATACAATGAGCTTTCAAAAGATTTCTACTTACGTTGGGATAATAAGTATCCGTAACTATATGTCCTCGGAAGATAAAACCGGATAGAAAACTCACCTGAAGACACAACACCTGAAACACAAAGTGAAACGTTTATCGAAACTGCTCCATTACGTCTATATAGTATGACGCATACGCAACAGTGAGTTCATAATCCCTAAGAGCATTCCACGTCGTCGTAACAATTTCTACAAAAATGCTTATGACTCGTGAATAGAAGGAAAGTAAAGTCTCGACAAGTGGTTTGATAAACGCCACTTGACGAATAAAGGGAACACTCTGCACGTGGTCTCACGGTTTCGGTTATGCACAACTTGTAAAACGTTTTTTCTCTTCCCATAAACCGACGCGCGCGCTTCTTTTTCCATCATTGTCGCCATTAAAAACTTAAATCTTGTTTCCTTCCGTCGTAGCGGTCGATCATTCTTTTTCCTCGAACAAGAACCACCCGCGTCGTTCCGGATCCAATCGAACAAATAGTTACCATTATCGGTAAATGGTGTCTGTAATCTCCACCCCGAAAGCATCGACCGATATAAAACAAATGGATTTCGTGAGGGCATGTATTACGATGCCTTAATGGGGTATTTACGATATTGTTCCACCATTGAAAGTGGGAGGGACGCGGTTAAGACGAACCATATTTGGGTCTTTGCTCCGTGTTCCTGGGAAGTTTAACGGTCGATGGTGATTTAATGAGTATGCCAAGTAGTCGATTGAGATATAAACCTGCAAATATTTTTGAGTTATTTCGTGAACTTCTTGAAAATAAATTTATAAATTGATCGAAATTTTTCGGAGTTTTCGATTAAATGGGAAATAAAGTATCAACGATAATGAATCTGATACATTGCTTAACAATGATATAAAAAATTATATCATTAAAAAGAAACGATAGATCAGAAATATACGATTCTACAGATAAAAAATACAATAACGATTTTCTTTTTTTTTTTTTTTGTATCCAATTCAAAGTTTGAAAAAACTTGAATTGCATCACTGTTGTAGCGAAATAAAAATCTTTTATTTGAAAATTATTTTTTGCGAAAAAATTTTGGCAAATATATTTTCAAATATTTAAAAGGCGAAAGAGATTAAATTGATTCATAAAAGTATGAAAATGTTACAAGGATTCCGTCGTCTTCTCCAAGCTCTAAGAAAAAATTCATCGCAGATTTCCATCTCGACCAGCCGTCTCGATTGGCACCTTTCGTAGAACGCGTCTTGCGTAATCCAACATAATTACAGAGACGAAGAAAGCGGATAAATCTTCTGGCTTGTCCTCGATTTGGCCATCTGAGAAAGAAACGACATTTACCGACACTTTCCTTCGTGTAAACGTCGTTGCACCACTCCTATATCTTCCGATCTGACCAAAGAACGACGCGAGTGAACTATACACGCGGCGAAGAAAAAGGGGCGAGTTGGCCCGATCTTCGAACGTCGAGGCAAAGTTCGATAAACAGTTGTGCTCCCAACCGTTCCCACCCACGCGAGCCTCGACAAATGCCGCGAGAATTCGGTGTCACGCGTCATAGCGGGATCCCCGCAATTTCACACGCGGAATGCAATCTTCATCGAGCCCTATTCCCCACCTTTTTCCCACACCCCTTCACCACACCCGAGACTTCCGTTGGTCGCGACGACAGGATTTCCATGTAGCGACAATTCGCCGACCGTTCCACTGACGTTTCTAGGGTAAAAGTGATCGTCTCGATCGATGGAACACGAGAGAGAGATAATTTTGGAACGTTCTCTGGTCGCGGCGACGACGACATTCCCACGCGATGACTCTATCGATCTTCTTTAATCGATGGAACAGAGAATAATATCGGAAATTTTTTGCATCCTCAAAGAATAATATTTCGAGACAATTTAACATCGCGTTATTCGAGCGAATAATTTAAATATTTAAATATACATCTGACGACGATGCTTGCGTCAATTCTTTCCCAGAAAACGATCCACGAGAGATTTATCGATCGCGAGTAGTGGAGTAGTTTCGAGAATTTCGCAGATAAGGATAGAATTTTTGCGTGACGGAAGGGGCGGGGATTCGCGAGGATTTCGAACGCGAGGAAGTGGTCGCTGAGATCGGTCGACAAAGGGGAAAACAATTTAGGAAATTTCCTTGGTCGCGTGCCGCTGGCAGCGGCTCAATATGGCGTTCGCGATATAAATCATCGCACGCCCTCGGACCTTTTCCGGGACCAGAAGCAGAAACGGCGAAATGGACTGTGTTTTAACCGAGCAAATAACCAGCGATGTTGCTCGCCGCTCGTTATAGGCCGAGAAAGATCGCGTGTGCTCGTTTGCGAAAATGCTCGGAAACTCTCCAGACGAACAATCATTTTTTCCCTAACTTTCTTCCATTATTTTTTTTTTTTATTTTTCTATCTTTCTTCTTCGTCTTTTTTTTTTAATTCTAGCTCTCTCTCTCTATTCAAACATAGCCCGAAGAGTCACTTCACCGTATGAAAAGGGAAGAATTAATTCGCTCGTGGATCGAGATTATTCATTTAATGCGCGATGAGAACGTTTTCGTGTTCGAGAGCGTTCCAAAGATGACTCGTCGTCGTTCGTCTGTTCTCGAATATGAACCGCAGAAATTTCCATGGAATGTATAGATTACTTTACGGGAACTGCTTTGCACTTTATAACGAGAAAATAAATATCGGTAAATATTGATCGAATTACGATTATCTTTTCGATTCGATATGGTGATTTGTTTTCTTGAATTTTGAAAAAAAAAAAAAGTGTTTTGATTGTTGAACTTGAGAGATAGTTGGGAAAAATCTCATTGAATGTAACGTGTTCATAATTTATTATTGTTTTAAAAGATTTCGACAAGTTTGATTAAGGAATTAATGTTCATAATTATTCGAGCGAGTTCGAAAGTCGATGAGCGTTGCTTGAATAATTTAAGTTTGAGTTAGAATACTTAAAGTTGTAACTTTTGGTACAAAGAAATCGTTGTCCTCTGTTCACGTGTGCAAATAATAACGAGAGACTGTCAGTTTTTATAATGAAAACTCTTAGAATAAAATATATTTGTAATATAATTTAGATAATTATGAAATGTATTCACATATTACGTTTTCGGATTAAATCGAAACAAGTAATATTATTTTATTCTCTATATATATATTTTGGATGAATGATACAGTTATATTTCAAATAAATTTTACGTCATACTCTTTTTATGAAGATTGACAAGGCTTAATCATGTTAAAAACTTTGCTCTTTTAAAAATCACTGTCGGAGAGCAATTTATAGAATATACATTTTATCGAGAGAAAAAAAAAAGAAGGAAACAAAAAAAGAGAGAGAATTAGTTTTATGAATTTTTCATTCGTTCGAAAAACCAATACATCGATATTTTTATCAAATAAACCGTCACGAATCTTTTAGTCAATCATCACGAATCATCATCATCATCATCATCATCATCATCATCATCATCTTTTAATTTTTATATAACCGATCTAAACATTAAAACATTAAAACTATCGATCATTCATCGCATTATAATTTGAATTATAATTAAACATTATAATTTTAATTTTTTTTTTTATTCAAATAACATCGATTGCAAGAGACGTTTAATCGAGGATCTATAATTTGAACGGAATCGAATTCATCATTTAACAACGCAATTTTAACTCTTCGCATCATGTGTTTACCTTTAACGTGACAACGATACTTTTCCCTAAAATATTTAAATTGCTATGACACGAGATTTGACACGTTTGTTAAATCAACAAACGAATCGAAACAGGGAAAATAAAATCAGAATTGATCATTAGGAAAACAATCATGTTGCGAAGGGTTATCTACAAGTTTCGCTACAATTCAAAATACATTGATCGTAATCCAAATCGTTTGTCGACAACCAATCGACAACCGATATTCCCCAAAAAGATTCCCCAAGAGATATCATGATTGAACGCTTTTCTAAAAAGTTTCACCCCGCGCGGCTCGTCGAACGATCGGGTCACGATCCACTTTGAAAACTGCGGACTATTAGTAAAGCGATTTACCGATCCAATCAGAATATCCATCACACGGCTCGGGGATTATAATATAATTTCGATCCATCAGATGGATAATATCGACAGGTGGAACGATCGGTGATTCGATATTTCTTGCACGAAACGCCACGTCTTACCTACTCCCGCGAGAATCCTTCATCCTCGAATCTATATCTTCATACGACACGAAAATTAAGAGCACCCCGATGGATATAGAGGGCTGAGCGACGAATTCTTCCCGAACCAATTTTTTGGAAATCACGATCTCTCGTGCCTCGCGTTCCTTCGCGCGATATCTTGAATTTCGCGCGTTGATCGTTCTCGCGAAAATTTTGCTTAGCATGGCTGTTTGCACGGGCAAAATTCCTCTCGCGTAATTTACGATAACACGTGATAATTATATGGAAATTTATGTAACAGTTTAGTTATTAGATAATATCATGCGGATTTATTAATCTCAATATTATACAGGCTGTTTTTCATCAACATTAAAAATACGCGGGAATTTTGAAAGGGGTTAAGAGTGTGCAAGAGCGTGCACGCATGAAGTGTCTTTTTAAGAGAACAGTGAGTGATGGATGAATGGAGTGGGTTTACGAGAGAGGAATTTTATTAAAGAAAAAAATTATATACCGTAATATATAGTGCATATCGATTCATTTCCTTTTTGAAAATTTTAATCTAAAGAAAAGAAAAAATGTATTTTCCTCGTTACCCTATCGTAATTGTGAACCGAAGTACAGAGATTTGGCGAATTACGCGTCTCGTAAATTATTCGAGGATTTCTCATTACGGAATAACAACGAAACACGTGCACCTGTGCGTTCACCTATGCAGTAAAACGATAAGGGAGGAAGCATGGAGGAAAGAAGCGGTGGAACTAAAATCAAAAAAAAAAAAAAAAAGGAGGGAGAAACAAAAAAAAACGCTGATAATAAAACGAGTATCTCCGAACTTGTAGCTTGTAGGAAAACAATTTTGCGTGGGCGGGTTCGACCCTGATTACGATACAAGCATAACATCGTGCTTACATGAATGGCT